CTCCGTCAGGGGTTTCCCCCAGGTCAGAGGGACAGCACCACCTCCACGTGTGGGCACCATGGTGCTTGGAGAGGTGGCTGGAGGTGCTGGGAGATGGCTGGTCATGCTGGGTTGGGGTTGGGTGAGAGTGGGGAGCTGCAGCTGCCCCCCCTGGTTCAGACTGGGGCGGGTTTGGGGTGTTCCTTCATGGGAGTGGGAGACTGGTTTTAATTCAAGCCATATCCCATCTCCTGCACTGGGGGAGGAGGTGTGGAATAGTGGTTTGGGCTCAAAAATGGGAGATTTGGGTCTTCAAATTCCTTCCGAGTGCGAATCCCACCACGGCCAACTGCAGGCAGGGCTGAGGCGAAGGCAGAGCGACGGGAGGTGGCTGCATGTGGGGGTCAGTCAGACTTCTCACTTCCCTCCCTGCTTCAAACAAATAAACGATCCTGCTGCTTTCCAGCCCAAAATCATCTGGTTGAAAAACCAGATGGAGATCCGGGAAGACCCCAAGTACATCGCGATGATCGAGCAGGGCGTGTGCTCCCTGGAGATCCGCAAGCCCAGCCCTTTCGACGGCGGCGTTTACACCTGCAAGGCCGTGAACGCCCTCGGGGAGGCCTCGGTGGACTGCAGGCTGGATGTGAAAGGTGAGGAGCAGCAGGAGGAGCAGCAGGAGGAGCAGGAGGAGCCTTGCCCTGGTCTCTCAGCGGGCGGGGAGGTGGTTTGTCCCTGGTTTGTCCCTGGTTTGTGTTGGTCCTGGTGGTGGTGGGGCAGTCTGAGAGCTCAGGGCAGCCCTGGGGAGCTGCAGCTGCACAGCCTTCTTGGGTTTATGGTCCTTGAAATCATCTTTCCGCATTCATGGCCTAAAAACCCCAGACTCACAGAATCCCAGGATATGCTGAGTTGGAAGGGACCCACAAGGATCATCCTGTCCAACCCTCAGCCCTGCACAGGCCCAGCCCCAAGAGTCACCCCCTGTGCCCCAGAGCATCATCCAAACCCTCCTGCAGCTCTGGCAGCCTTGGGGCTGTGCCCACTGCCCTGGGGAGCCTGCTCAGTGTCAACCACCCTCTGAGGGAAGAACCTTTCCCTGAGATTCACCCTGAGCCTGCCCTGACACAGCTCCAGCCATTCCCTGGGGGCTGTCCCTGCTCCCCCCAGAGCAGAGCTCAGTCCTGCCCCTCCTCTGCCCCTGCCCAGGCAGTTGGAACTGCAGGGAGCTCTCCCCTCAGTCTCCTCTGCTCCAGCTGAACACACCAAGTGCCCTCAGCCCCTCGAGGCCCTTCCCCATCTTCGTTGCCTCCTTTGGACACTCTCTAAGAGCTCAATCTCTTCCTTATATTGCCCAAAACTGCACAGTGGGGAGGAAAGCAGAGCCCTGGAGCCAGAGCAGCTGCTGCAGGTTGGGCCCATCCTGCTCCTCCCTGCACCCCCAGCACTGGTGTCCTGAGCCACCCCCAAGGCCTGCCTGGGTGGGTGTGAGCTGAGCCTCCTCCCCTGCCCCTGGGCTGCCCTGATTTATGCCCAGGGATCCTGCCCAGCCTCCCCAGCTCACATTTCCCTGCCTCAGCAGCGCTCCCAGGGCAGCCCTTGCACGGAGTTGCCCCCATTTCTCCCCCTGCCCGGGGCAGCCCCTCCTGTCGCACAGCCAGGATTCCTCCTGCCCACCCCCCACGTGCTCCTCCAGTGCCTGTGTGTCCTTAAACACACCTTGTTTATGTGATTTCCCAAAAGTTATTCCTCAAAATCATGAAACCAAGGAATGGTTTGGGCTGGAGGGACCTTAGAGGTCATTGTGTTCCAACCCCTGCCCTGGGCAGGGACACCTCCCACTATCCCAGGTGGCTCCAAGTTTATCCAATCTGCCATTGGACACTTTCAGGGCTGGGGCAGCCACAGCTTCTCTGGGAATTCCATCCCAGCCCCTCTCCACCCTCACAGCCAACAATTCCTTCCCAACATCCTGCGCAAATCTTCCTTGTCCCAGTCTGAAGCCATTCCCTGTGTCCTGTCCCTCCATGCCTTGTCCCCAGTCCCTCTCCAGCTCTCCTGGAGCCCCTCCGGGCCTGGAAAGGACTCCAAGGTGTCCCTGGAGCCTTCCCTTCTCCAGGGGAACCCCCCCAGCTGTCCCAGCCTGGCTCCAGAGCAGAGGGGCTCCAGCCCTGGGAACATCTCCGGGGCCTCCTCTGGACCTGCTCCAGCAGCTCCTCGTCCTTCTTTTGTTGTCCCCAGGGCTGGGGCAGCTCTGCAGGGGGGTGTCCCCTGAGGGGCAGAGTCCCCCCCTGCCCTGTGCCCACGTGTCAGGCAGGAGGATGAGCTGGACCCTGTGCTGGGAACGCCTGGGAGGGCTCTGGGGGCCCTGGTGGGGCTGGGATGGCTTGGATCGTGTGTGTGTGCAGGGATGGGGCTGTGGGGGCACACGGGGGGTTGGCTGTGCCCTGGCTCACCTTTGGAAGTCAGAAGGGGAGGAAGTCGAGGGGAATTCAGGGGTTTTATGTCTGCTGTGCTCTCCTGCAGTGCCCAAGTGAGGATGGATCGGAGGGCGAGGCAAAGAGCAAGGTGGGTCTGGGTGGGGGCTCTGGGACTGCTGGGGGGTGGTTTGAGGGTCCTGGATTAGCCCCTGTCACCCCAACTCGGGCCCCCCTCACCCCACGGCTCGGGAGGCACTGCTGGGGTGGAAGGAGGAGCCTGAGAGGACCCTGCCTGTAAATAGGGCTGTAAATAGGGCCGGGAGGAGGGACAGGGTGTGGCTGGTGTGCCCAGCACAGCCCCAGTTTGCACCAGGGCTCCTGGGGACAGGAAAAATGGGTGTGAAACGGGGCTGTGGGGTGGAAACACAGAGATAAAGGGCTGTGCCTGAGTTTTGTGGGGCAGGAGGGGGGGGGGGGCTGGGCTGGGTTTGTCTTGCACTGGGGCCACAGCAGGGATTTCCCCCCTCAACCCTGAGCGTGGGGCCCTCAAAGCCCTCAGATCTCACTCCCTGTCCCCAGGTGGATGCTGCAGCTGCTGGGTGCGATCAGGGCCCGTGGTGATGCCCCTCATCTCTGCTGCTGGGGGGCTGCCCCTGCCTGGCAGAGCTCTGGGGGGGCTGCCCTGGCACGGCCCTCTCCGAGCCTGTCCTGAGCTGTGACAATAAAACCAGCCCCTCTGAGGGCCTTTGGTCCTAATGACAACCCCAAACCCCTCTGTCCTGCTTCTTGGAGGGTTGCCATGGCCGGGGGGAGGTGAGGGAAGAGCTCCAGGGGTGATGTGAGGCCGGGTAACATCCCACCCTATCCGTGGGAGGAGGTGGGTTCCTGAGCTGGGAAAGGAAAAGACCCTCTTTGTGGAACACACCAGAAGGTGTCTGCACCAGAGGGAACCCAGCCAGGGGGAGGACAGTGAGGGAAGTTTTCTTGCTGGAGCTGGAGGATGATCCTGGCTGGGGAGAAAGAACAGCAACATCAAAACTGTGCCGTTGGTGCTTCTTCATCAAAGCACAATTTCTTAATCCACACCAGCGACCCGGCCAGGAACGGCCACCAGCATCCCCTCCCCCCGGCATGAGGAAGGATAAACATGCACAGGTGGGGCCAGAATTCCTTGTTTCCCCCAAATTCCCCCAAAATTCCATCAAAACCCGTGTAAAATAGCACAAAATTGCCCTGAATTACTCCAAACATGTAAAATACATCCAAAGTACCCTCAGAATCTCCCAAAAAATCCCAGATTTTCCCCAAATTCCCCCAATATTCCCAAACACACAAAACCACCTCCAAAAAAATTCCCAAATTCCATCAAACCCACCCAAAATACGCTCAAAATACACCCAACCCCCCCAAATCATCCCCAAATCCTCCAAGACCCCAAATTCCCCCAAGTCCCATCAAAATACCCAATCAAGTCCTGTAATATCTCAAAACACCCTCAAAACCCACCCAAATCCCTGAATGTTTTGGTGGGGCTTGGGGGAATTCGGGGGTTTTGGAGGATTTGGAGATGATTTGAGGGTTTGATGTTTTGATGGGACTTGGGGGAATTCGGGGGTTTTGGAGGGTTTGGGGATGATTTGGGTGTATTTTACCCGTATTTTGGGTGGGTTTGAATTTGGGATTTTTTTTTTTTTTAGGTGGTTTTGTGGGTTTGGGAATATCGGAGGGGATTTGGGGAGATTCTGGGAGGTTTTGGGGGTGTTTTGCACCCGGGGGTGCTGCAGCGGCCCCGTTCCCACCATCAGAGGGCATCCTTGGATCGCCTGTCCCGGCCGCGCTGGGGGTGGAGCGCTGGGACTGTGGGGATGCTGCAGTCGGGGCTGCAGAGCCGCTTGTCCCCGTCACACCCACGGGTGGCCCTGGGCGCTGGTGGGGATGGTCCCTCGGGTGCCCCTGCACGTGGCGTTCTTTGGGACGCAGGGCCTGGAACCCTCAGGGGGGGCTTTGCGACCACGGGGGAGAGGCAGCATCACCCAGACTGTCCCAGTGCCCGCTGTGCCCTTTCCAGACCCTCATTCTGACCCTCCAGGACACAGCCCGGGTTTGTAACACCACCACCATCCCGGGGCATCGAGGGGGGCCAGAACATCCACGTTTAGTGGGAAAGGTCTGGAGAGCACCGAGTGGAAAAATCCACTGGATGGGGTTGTTCTGTCTGAGGTGACTGTTCACGTGGCTTTTAATTTACGAGCATCCCAGTCCCCAGGTTTCTGGGCACCTCAGCAAGGACCAGGCAAAGGTGCCAGTGCCGGGAGAGCAGCGGGAATGAGCTGCAAAGTGGGAGTCAGAGCTGGCAAACAGCAGCACAGATCTGAGGGCACTGCTGTGCTGAGGGACCATGGGGGGCTGGGGGTCCTCTCCGTGCCAGGCTGGGTGTGCAGCACCCCCAGGCACTGCTGCCATTGGGTTCTCCAGCACCCCCAGCCACTGCTGACATTGGGTTCTGCCCCTCTGGGGGCTGGGAGGGCGTTCAGGTTCCCAGGGAAGGATTTGCCCCCTGCTGTTGCTCCTCTGCTCTGCTCCTGTTTTGCCCAATGTGGAGCCTGGAAATGACGCACTGAGGCCCCTGCAAAGTGTGGGAGGGCGAGTTCCTCATCTCCTCTCTTCTTTATTACCCTCCTCTTCCCTCCAGGCTGAGCAGAGTGGGAGAAGGGGACACCCAGCAGCCCCACTGCCCGTGCCCCCCTGTTCAGTGTTGCTCTTGGTGCCCAGCTAACAAACCACTCCTAAACCTCACCCTTCCAAGGTCCCTTTGCTCTCTGCCCCCCCCTCAACCCTCGCAGGAACTCTCTGCAGCCCCTTTGCCGTTGGTGACGTGTCCCCTCCCAGGGCAGGACCCTGAAGGGTCACAGGACGTGTGTTCCAATGGGAGCCTGGTGAACGAGGGATGCTGATAAGGAAAGAATCCCAATGAACTCCAATTAACTCTTCCCACCACTGCTTGAGGCCTGGAGGGGATCCTGCTGCAGAGCAGGGGCTGGCACTGCCCCATCCAGAGAGACCAGAGCTGAGAGGGGGTGGGTGATCCATGTCCAGCCACTCCCTCCTTCAGCGGGAGGGGTGGGAAAGTGCCCCTGTGGCAGCACCAGCACTGATTCAGTGGCCTGCAGCCACCCCCCAGTTGCCCCCCATATGGGTGCAGGTGCCCCTCTGCCCTCCCTGGGCCATGGGATTGCTGCATTATCCCACAGTTTTGGGGTCAAAAGTGTTTGGCTGCATGGGGAGGGGGAGAGGGAGCGACGGGAGACAGATGAGACAGGCCGGGAGGGATTTGTTGCTGCTTTTCACAGAAGACACGAGGGAGAAAAGAGGGAAAAGGGCTCAAACCTGAAGGAAATGGAAGGAGAAGACATGTGGAGAGGACACAGTCCCTGGGTGCAGCTCATGGGGGGTGGGTGCTGTTGGGGTCCACGGGGAGCTGCACGAGCTGCTCCTGCAGAGCACTCTGGGGTTGTGCTCGAGGGTTCCACTGCCCCTCTGCCCACCTCTCTGCTGGCACTGGGAGCTGGACACCGACCCTGTGCTCTGTGGGTCGGTGGGTTCCACTGCCATGGGAGGCCTTTTCCCATCCCTTGCTGTGCCTGTGCCCAGCTCAGCCCTCCCTGGCTGTGGAGGGGGAAGAAAAGCCCTGCAGAGCTGCAGATCTCCAGCAATCCCCCTGCCCGGGCCCTCAGCACCTTCACTCCCTGGTTCCCAGTGCCCAGCTGGGTCCATGGATGGAGGGGGGCAGAGCAGGAGGTGCCCTCACATCCCCACAGAGCTGGGGGTCTCCATCGATGGGTGGGCACCTCCTGCCTGGTTTGGGTCACAGCTCTTTATTTGCAGGAAGATAAACTGCTCCTCTGTCTGTACAATCTCTCCTTAAATACTTGGCAACCCTTAAAAAAATAAAAAAAAAGAAAAACAAAAACAAACTTGGAGGAGGGGGGAACCAACCCAAAAACAAACCCAGAAAGGAACAGTGTAGGGCTACAACATCCAAACAGTGAATAAATAACCCCCCGGGCAGAGGGGGGGGACACGGCTGCTGGGATGGCCCCGACCCTCCAGGTCCTCACTCCCTTCTCCCGACGGCAGGAGCAGAGTCCGGCGGGGCCGGGGGGGGGGCACAGATCCCCCTCCCTGCCCTCCCCCCGGCCCTAATTGGCCGGCTCGGCCGTGGTGGTGCTGCCGGTGGCGTTCTTGGCGGTTTTGCAGCAGAAGTACTGGTTCCAGATCTGCAGGAAGGCTGTCCGGAACTTCTTGATGCGGAAGGCGTAGACGATGGGGTTCATGGCCGAGTTGCCGTGGGTGAGGAAGATGGCGATGTAGGTGAGGATGTGGGGGGTCTCGCAGGACGGGCAGAACAGGGTGATGCAGTTGAGGACGTGCAGGGGGAGCCAGCTGAGGGCGAAGAGGAACAGGACCAGCGCCAGGGACTTGGCGATTTTCAGCTCCTTCCCGTAGTACTTCTGGGGGTCGTTGGAGCTGGACGAGACCTTCTTGTTGAGCTGCTTGCGGATGAGGTTGAAGACCTCCAGGTAGATGAGCAGCATGAGCAGCAGGGGGGGCAGGACCCACACGAAGAAGTTGAAGTACACCATGTACTCCATGCTGATCACTGTCTCGAACTGGCACGTGATGACGAACTCCTGGCTGGCGTTGGGCTCCTGAGTCCTCCTCATCTTGTTCAGGTTGTTCCAGCCGAACATGGGGGTGAGTCCCACCAGCAGGGACACGATCCAGCAGCAGGCGATGGCCACGGCCGCCCGCCGGGGCGTCACCACGCTCTTGTACCTGGGGGGGCACAAGAGGCACAGGGGGGAGCTCAACACCTGCCAGGCTCGTCCCCCACCTCTCAAAATCACGTCTCGATCAGAGCTGAACCGAAACCAGGGGGATCCTGCACAGGAACCTCGTGTAGATGGGAAGTTTGGGGAAGTTCAGTGGGTCTGGTCTGAGGGATCTGGGGTTCTGGAGGTACAGCTGGGATGTCCCTGTGCAGGTTCCCAGAGTGCTGCACACGGATTGCTGGGTGACCTGTGAGCAGCTCAAAGCCCACAACCCAACCTACCCATCCTTCCAAAGGTTAATGTCTGGGGATTTGCAGCTGTGGGAATGGGGGTGATTCCCCTCAGTTCACACCATCCTGGGGGGCTGCATTTCCAAGGCTTGCACTCCAACATCTCAACTCCCTCCCATCTCCACGGGTTGCTCCAGGTGGGGTGGCAGTGCCCGTGCTGGGCTGGAGGGATGCCCCTCACCCCTCCCCTGGCAACCAGTAACGGCCTGCTCTGATAGCTCTGTCCACAAACCGATTTCCCTGGGATGGGTAGAGACCCCAGACACACTCCTGGAGCTCAGGGGGTTGATGCCACATCAGGAAATGCTTCAGGAACCTGGAGGGGGCCTGCTGGGTGTCCTCCCCCACCCCCTGGAGGGGTCTGTGTGCACTGCCAGCTCAGCTCCATCCCAGCCCCTCCAGCCAGAGCTGCAGGGCTCCCTGTCCTCCCAGCCCAGCCCAGCCTGCAGCTCCTGCCCTGGACCATTCCAGGCTGCCAGGGGAGGAAATCGCTGCCAAAGCACCTCCTGGGAGCCAGGAGGACGGGGGGAGGGTCTGGGGTGCTGATGGAGCCCCGGGGAAGATTCTGGGCACAGCCTGTTCCATTTCCATCCCTAATGGAGGTGGCCCATCCACAAACCCTCTTTCCTCGTGGGCTGGTGCCAAGGCTGAGGAGGAGGAGGAGGAGGAGCAGGAGAGCACTCCAGGTCTGGGCTCATCTCCCCAGAGCTCTCCAAGCGGGAAGTAGAGTCTGCTCCATTGATTTTCCTGCCTGGCCCTCGGAAAAGCTTCTCCTTGGAGGCTCAGAAGGTTCTCAGCCCCGGAGTTGTTGCTTTTCCCTGGAGGGGACTGAACAAAGACCACTTTCCTGGCTGTTTGCTGGGTCTGTCAGTGCTGCTGGTGTTTGACCTGGACCACGTGGAGCTGGGTGGCAAATCCTGGTCCTGGAAAAAGGTTTCCTTTTTGGAAAAGGAAATGGTGGGAAACGGAGCATTTGGGGGCTTTTAAATATCTCTGAGGACCCCAAACCAGTCCCTTTCCCCTTCTCAGGACCCTTCTCAGGGCAAGGCATCAGGGTGGGAGCAGGGAGGGGCTCAGGGTGGAGGAGGGGACATCAGTCCTCAGGAGTCCAAAGGGTCCAGAGCCACCAGTCCCCCCAGCAGCTTCCCTGAGTGAACCTTCTCTACCCTGGGAAAAGGTTCCCATCATGCTGGTGGCAGCCAGGTCCTGTGGGAAGGAGGTGACAACGTGGGCAGCCATTTCCTCTGAGAGCCAAGGCTGCAGTCAGAGGGTGATTTATTCCTTGTGGGGAGCAGAGAGGGCAGGAGACCCTGAGAAAGGCTCTGGGCAGGGCAGGAGACCCTGAGAAAGGCTCTGGGCAGGGCTGGGGCACGGGGAGGGCAGGGCGGGTGGGAGAGAACTGGGACTGTGGGACAAGGGAAGGGGAGGAGGGGGCCCCACGGGAGGGGGGTGGCACAGGGATGTCAGAGGCTCCCGTGGGACTCTGTGCTGGCCTGTGCACCCCGTGTCACCCAGAACAGGTCTTGGGGGGCTGGTGTGCCCTGGCACCTGTGACATCCCCCTCCCACCCCCCAGGCTGGAGCAGCTCAGGGAGGGGGGGACAAGAGTGGAAATAACAGCCCTGTCCCCCATCCCAGCTCCTCCCGGCAGTCCCTGTGAGCTGTGTCCCATCTCCCCACTCCTGGGGCTTCCCAGAATCTCCTGCTGATTTTGTTGGACCTGCTCCCCCACCCTGCCCTGCAGAGCGGTGGGAGAGCCACCATGAGGGACACAAAGTGCTGAGCAGCCACAGGGCCAGCACAGCCCCAAACACCCTCCCAGGGCTTGCAGGCACCCCCAGAGCACCCAACCCTTCTCCCCCGGGTGGGAGCACCGAGTCCCCACTGTCACCTGTGAACCAGGAGCAGAGGGGTGGGGAACAGCTGCAGGGGGACAATCCCGGCCCCCCAGAGCTCCAGAACATCCTGAGCTGTGCAGATGGATGTGGGGGCAGCTGTGGAGGGTGTGCAGACCACGGGGGGACAGCTCATGGGGTCCAGAGGGGTGAAACAGAGAGCACACCCTGCCAGGGGCTCCTCCACCTCCCACCTCCTCACAGCACCTCTGTCCTCCTTAGGGCACATCCGTCCTTCTCACTGCACAGTCATCCTTTCCTAAGACACATCCATCCCTTACCTGCATCCACCCACCCACCCCCTCTCTGCTGGACATCTCTGCCTCACGTGGATGCTCCCACCTTGTTGCACGTCCATCCCTGCTCCTCCTTGCACACCCAGCCCTCTGCTCTGGTCCAGACCCATCCCTGCTGGGGGTGAACAGGAGGAGGAAGAGGATTTTAAAAGGTGGAAAGAAACAACTTCTGGCGATGTGGGCCAGACAGTATAAGATAAATAGACTGTCTCTGTTAGATTGTAAGCTTTCTCTCACAGGACAGAGCAGGCTGCTTTTGATTGGACAGTGTCTGGTCAAGGCATCTGGCCTTTCCAATTAAGTACTTAAAAGTTATCTGAAGATTCATGTATTCCCCCTTTTTTGTATCTGTCAATCCCTAGTCCTGACCAATGCCCTGTCCAAGTTTTTGCATACCTTTCCCCTTTTCTAGAACCTTCCTTATCTACACTATAAAAACCTTCTATTTTGTAAAATAAAGTTAGATCAGCCCCTAACAGCCACAGCTGCTATTCTGTGCAACTTGCCTCTTGTCTTTTATTATGAGCTCGGCCTGTACTTAATATCTGGGTGAGACAAATTACAACCCTACCAGGTAAGATAAGAGAGACTGCAGCTCAGCTGTGAGAACCCTGCTGGTCTGGGTATGACCCTTTTCCCCAAACCATGTCACATCCCTCTGCCCTGGTCCAGATCCATCCCTCCTCCTCACATACCCATCTCCCTGCTATGGTCCATATCCATCCCCCGTTCTTGAACACCCATGGCTCTGCCCTGATCCATCTCCATCCCTCTGCCCTGATCCATCTCCATCCCTCTGCCCTGATCCATCTCCATCCCTCTGCCCTGATCCATCTCCATCCCTCTGCCCTGATCCATCTCCATCCCCCTGCCCTGATCCATCTCCATCCCCCTGCCCTGATCCATCTCCATCCCCCTGCCCTGATCCATCTCCATCCCTCTGCCCTGATCCATCTCCATCCCCCTGCCCTGATCCATCTCCATCCCTCTGCCCTGATCCATCTCCATCCCTCTGCCCTGATCCATCTCCATCCCTCTGCCCTGATCCAGACCCACCCTCCTTGCCCATGTCCATTTTGCCCCCTCCCTGCCCGTGCCTGGCCCGTCCCACATGGTTTGAGCAGCAGGACCTGCTGTCCCTGCCCCCACCTCACTTTGCCCCCCCAGGTTTGACCGTGGCCCTGCAGGAGCAGCTGAGAACCAGCCTGTCCACCCACCCTCCTCCACGTGGGCACCAAGGTCCCAAAAACACCACGGCTGAACCCAAAAATCCATGGGAAATGGCAGCATTTGGGGCTGGTTTTGCTTCCTTTGCTCCTTCAGGCACCGAGCCCAGAGGAGGCTGCAGGGAAATGGTTCCCTGGGAACCCTCGGGTGCCCCCTGTCCTCACCCACGTGGAGAGGCAAAAGCCGTGAAGTTCCTCCAAGATCCTCCTCTGTCCACCCCACTGGCTCCATCCCTCCCCCAGCTCTGCCCAGGGAGCTCTCCTGGGGCTCACAGGCCCCCTTCAACCACTTTACACCCTATTTTCCCGGGAAGTGTCTGCGGCGAGACTGGACCTGGCACTCGGTTGACGACGTGAGGATCAGTCAGAGGTTGGATCTGATGATCCCAGAGGTCTTTTCCAACCTGAATGATCCTGAGCTTCTGTCAAGGGTGGAAATGCAAGATCCCACCTGATTCCCAACCCCTCGGTACGTGGTGGGGGATTAACAGAGGGGTCGGGGACAGACTTTGCTGTTCCTCTTGTTTTTTCCTTCCATGAAGGAAAAGCCTTTCTCATTTACCTCATTCTGCACTAACATGACAGGGCTGGGGTGGGTCTGGGAGGAAGAAGCTCTAGAAGATGCTGGTAATGGCTCCCAATTAATAAATAATCTCATTATTACCATCAGCATCAGAACAATTAGCAGCATCCTTGCAATTTCATTGCCACTATTATTGTTACTGGCAGCTGCGACTAAACCATCCCTGAGAAGAGTCACCACCATCATCATCCACTTTGGGTTTATTTCCTTTGCCTGGGGGGTTTTCAGCCTGACCATAATTGGTAGATTTTCCTCCACCTCAGTGGTGGTTTTTGCACCATCCCTTCCCCACAAAGAGCACCCCAAGCCCTCAGGAGAAAGGAGGCACAGCCACCATCCACCTCTTTGGTTCCCTGGGGAGATGGGATGGGAAGGAGGTTGGGTTTGGTGCGGAACAAAAATGTATTTGAGGTTTTGGAAAGTAACACAAAGAGGCAAAATAGGAATTATTGATGGTGCTGTTTGTTCCCCAGGGGAAGGGAAGAGGTGATGGGTGGAGGTGGAGGCAGACAAATCGTCCCCAAGGGCAGACAAATTGGTCAGAGCTGAAAGGAGCAGCAGCTCCAGGGAAAGCTGCTGCCTCCTGAGGGGACACTCCAGGACATGCCAGTCAGAGGAGCGAACTCTGAGGCCTCTTTTCTCCAGGAGAACATGGAACCCCAGAGGGGTTTGGGAAGGGATCTTAAAGCTCATCCCATTCCACCCCTGCCCTGGG